TCTTGGACTTTAGTTTAAATTGACCGATCAAACCGCGATAGTCCTGCTATTGCACCCGACTTGTTGTTCTGGTTCCTAATTTATTGCACTTTGAAGTTTTCTTGTCGTATGCCAGGCAGTGGGCCTGTTTTTGTCCTCCCTCGTTCTGCTTGGCCTACCAAATCCTGATGAACTTATCTTGTCTTGATATATTCCCGCAAAAGTAAGATAAACTCCTGGCAATTGTGTTTCGTTTACCACGCCGGTTTATGTGTGGCCAAGTCTACATTGGAATTATCCTTCTTTCCGGGTTATCCTCGGTACTTGCCAATCCCCCGATGGCCATTAATCCTGGTTGTAAATTTGCGATCATGCCTGACTGCATGCCACTCACTAGCTGGCAATAAACAGTATTATTATTAATATTAACAAGGTGAGAATCCTACTCAACTTCGCACTGACAGTGTCAATCGCTCTGTCAACTCGATTCTCGATGAAATTCAACTCCAGCTCTGCTAACGAATCGACTGCCAAACAGTACCTTTACCCTGCAATATAAACAGAAACATGAAATATACGTGAAATATTGACGATATTTTACGAACCAAGAAGATTATGGGAAATGATCACGGAAGAAGAAGCATAACAGCAGAGCCTGATGTCCACTCCCGGCGTTTAATATGCTCCTCCCAGAGTCCGGACGGAGCAGGCCTCGAGACGGGCCTTCGGTAACAGGCACGAAGTCCCGGACCATATACTGGCCACACTACATGCTGCTGGCCCAATTACAACCACTACAAATTCGTTCACTAACATCTAAGCATTGTGTAAAAAATAACCACTATTCAGTGTTTACGAACCATTGTCACGGATTCACATCTTACCCGTTCATGAAGCCACAGTTTTGCAATCCCTGAAACCTACTCTGTTAGAACGACACGCACTAACCCCACCGATTGTCGTGAAATTTGTTTTTTGTGTGTACGCATCCATATTTCTTTGCGTTCATTTAAACAAAAGTTATTCGGTATGAAGAGAAGGGGAATAAGCTGAGATTTAGTGAGAGATAGAAAGTGGTACAATTTGAGTAATGATAAGCTACAAAGAAAGTACTGATGTACAATGGTCAGAAGGATCACGGTAAGTCCGTGAGTCGCAAAGTCCACGATCATCGGTAGAGTCAGACTGTGGCGCACTTTTCGAAATTTGAAGGTATCCGCGCGGTAATTCTAGATTTTCGCAGGTCTTTGCACAAATGTTTCGTGATATTTTGCGTCCAACTTACTAAAAATAAACTCATATATATTAACTAACAAATACTGCCATGACACTTGCTGTAATTACCTCCAATCCAGTGTTAGTTTGAATAATCTAGAGCCTCGAGCAATTCAGTTTGACCATTCATTCATTTGCTGAAGACAGTGGAAGAGTCCTCTATGGGCAAGTCCACCTCGTATTCAAGTGGAGTATGATTTTTAGGCACATGGAACTGCACATCTACATCACATGGCCCGATTTGCTTTTGAATTCGAGATCAGTCCTCTTCCGCGATATCAAGCGAATGTGAAGTCCGGAGGATATCGGCATGCCGGGATAGCCCATGCATTTGTGGTGTTCCTTTATATATTTGACTATGCTCTCTGGTATCGTCAACTCGAACAGGGACTTCGTGAAAAACTTGATACAGGTTTCTGAGTAAAACATTGTAGTGAGATTACCGTGACTCCTCCCATAATATCGTTGGAATAAAATGAAAGCGTGCATTCGGCCGCTATGTGTGGGCGAGGTGGCTAAGTAGATAGAGCGCGAATTTACTGACCGGATGGTCCGTGGTTTCAATCCGAACTCTGCCTCTCGACTTCCCCTGTCTAGGCTGGGGAACCTGGCAGTATCCCGGTCCCCGTGTTTCTTTCTGGTGTCATGCAGTTTGACACCGAATGGGTGCTACACCTGAACGGACTGGATTCCAGTGGAGAGTTGTCCTCGTGCCTTTCGGTTATGAAGGACATAAAAGCCTGGTGGCCACCCACTGCAAATCAACCGTGGACCCACAATTCAGGACTTTTTGGGCACAAATTATTGCCGCCATCATCATTACCATCATCATCAAAGACAGCAACATCGGTGTTGACAATGATGCTTCACCGCCGTACAATCATAAGGTTCGTTTAGTTATATGCATATATATAGTTATATTAAAAGTACTAGAGTCCCAGAGTCCAAGCATTCTGAGGTGTGCACACCTCCAACCATTCAGTCAGACAACCTGGAAAGAAACTGACAGCCCGAACGTCACTGACACCAGGTAGCCGTCATTTCTTGCAACGTCTCCAGCCAAGCACAGGCGGGGTCACGGGGACCCATCCTGGAAGGCTTACAACACTAACAACATTCAAAATCCTCGTGATCTCTTTCACGCCTTTCTGCCAAGTCATGGGCTGTCCACATCGTGGTTTCATCATCATCGACAGCATAACATCAGTGTTCAACACCGATGTTTCAGTGCCGTACAACCATGATTTATTTGAAAGCCTTATTGGAAAGGTGCCTATACCTCCAGACACTCACTGAGGCGATCTTGATAGAAACTGATAACAAGAACGCCAATGACATCGGTTGGCAGCCATATCTTGTAGTGTCTCCAACCAGGCACAGTGAGGGTCACACGGTCCCCATCCTGGAAGGCGAGTAGCACCGACAGGACCCAAGCGTTTCGTGATCTTCTTCATACTTTTCTGCCAAGTCAAGGGTTGGCCACCTCTCTGTTTACACCACTCTGAATTGGGCATGGGAAACAGCACTCCCTTCGGCAAACGATGGCTCGATGTACGCAACACATGCCCCAACCAACGAAACTTCTGGTGCTGGACACATTCTTCAATGGAAGTACCCGTTGCACAACCGAAAACTTGCTTTCCAACTGCATCGTTACGGGTTCGCCAACACCAACCCACACGAGCTATGGTTCTGAAACAACGATTGTCGAACACCTGAAGACGTTGCTCGAATAGACCAAGTCTCACAGCCATACAACAAAACAGTCCGTACTGTAGCTTGCTACACATGTCCCTTCAGATTCAGGGATAAACCATTCTGACGCCATAGGTGTCTCAAATTAGCAAACGCGGCCCGAGCCTTGCAGATTTGTGCGTTCACCTCATCTGTCACACTACAATCAGAACTAATACAACTCCCAAAATACGTAAAACGCTCCGCAACCTGTCCCTGGATTGTAATGGCATGTTCAGTGACTGCGCGTTCACGAGCATGACCTTACACTTTGTGGGTGCAAAGTGCATACCAAAGGTCGGGATGACTTTGGTCAGTCCAAGAACATCCAAGTGGAACAACTGCGGACGTTTTTGTATCTTCCATTTCTTCGGCAAGGTGCAATCATGCCAGGGAGGCCAGTCAGACTCGGAACAGCGAGACCCCGTACTACGAGTAATCGTGCTACGAGGTGGTCTGTCGGTGAAGTCGTACTGTACGCTGCAGTGTGGATGTGAAGGCTGTTAGGTGTTTCCCTTAGGCGACCAGCACATCCGTATTTATGGAAGCGGCGTTGCTACCTTCTCCCGAAAAAGGACGGGTTAGAAAAGGTAGACTCTTATGCCGGCTTATGCCGTCAGAGGGATATTTCCTACCGAGAATTACCTGGGCTACTTTGCCTAGCAGTGAGCACTGACAGTGTGATACTTACGGGCGATGCGAATGCTCAAGTCGGTCATCTGAGCCCTCTGGAATCTCATTTGGGCGGTCAATTCGGAATCGATGCTCGTCGCACACATAACGGAGGTCGACTTCTCCAATTGTGTGCTGATCATCAACTGTTTCGCATCGCGTAACCTGGCGGCCACCATCTGCAAATCAACCGTGGACCAAGTTGGACCACGTAGCCATCAGACACCGATTGAGAGCCACAATTCAAAACTGTCATTCCTTCTTGGGCACCACTTGATTCCGGTCACGCCATGGTACGTACATGCCTGACAGTTCGTTTTCCTTCAGGCCCTCGCAAATCAGCAAGAAGCATGCCGATCCACTATCTTCGAAGAACTGCCGTAGCTCAACAGTATCGATCTGAGCCAGCCCAGCAACGCTTCACAGCAAACCAATACTGTGGTAGCAGTGAGCGTGTGGATGAAACGTGGCAAAATGCGAAAGGAGCTATGTTGGCGGCGTTCAGTGCTGTCTGCTCGGCCTCTCCGATTCGACCACAAGACCACCGGATGTCGGCGAGGTCGTTATCCATGATTGATGCAAGGAAAGCCATACCAGCTGGTAACGGGTACGACGGTGCACGCAAATCCCTCAAACGCCAAATGGTGAAAGGAAAGACCGAGAGCTCTCGTGGACATCGAAAACTCGGGAGATGGAGAAGGCTTTTGCTACAGGAAACAGCCGTGCTCTATATCAACTGATACGACCGACTGGTCCAAGGAAAGTAACGGTTAGTGAAACGATTAGTCAAAAAGTAGCTCGTTGATTCACTCGCAAAACTTCGAATAGTAAGATGAGCCAAACACTTCGGAAAACAGTTCAACCGGCCACCTGCAACAGCCTGTGGAGATAATGCATACAGGTAAATGGAACGTAAACCTTGATTGCTCTTCGGAAGAAGAAGTAAAGTACGAAATATCCGCACTAAAATGTGAGAAGGCACCAGGACTGGATGGTCTCTATCCAGCCCTCTTCAAAGAAGGCAGTGAATCCCTGGTGACCCATCTGACAAGGCTTATTGGTGCTATATGGAATTCCGCCTCATGATTCGGCATGCGCTTCACGAAGTGTAAAGTGCTGCTGCAGGACTGAGTGGGCCCCGAACCCTATCCCGATGTTTAAGGATGGACCGCTTGAAGCATCAGACAAGCTCGTCTATCTGGGCAGCTGTATCAGTCCCGGTGGTCTCGCGAAAGGTGGTATTTGCATTCGGATTGGGAAGGCCAGAGCAGCTTTTGTGAATCTGCGTCACCTGTGGCGTAGGCTTGATATAAGCTTATCCCTCTAGGGTCGAGTTTACGATGCTACGGTGCGATCCATGTTGCTATACGGGTCAGAAACTTTGCCGATGCGCTCCAAGGACGTCAACTAACTCAGTGTTTTACCAACGATGTCTTAGGAGCATTGCCAGGGTCTGGTGGAAACATCGGATAAGCACTGTTGAAATACGTAAACTGTATTCGGAAGAAATAACTCGCCCACGACAGATGAGCTGTTCGTAGTTTGCCTCCTGATAATACCACTGTAGGGTTCACCGGCATTCTAATTCATCCCTCAATTCTATTGGATACAGTCATTCACGTGTAGCTATTCACCCCTTTCTCCCCAGATCATTGGCGAACAAATCCGTGGCAGCTAGAGTCATTGTACAATGTCTACGTGGTTTTTACGGCTTGTGATGATGATCAGACAGCCTATGGTTGTTGCTAAAGAAGTTGGTCACTGGGATAAAATAATCGCAGTGAAACTTCCAAGATCGGTGGATCGCTGTGCGTTGTTATCGATCCTATCCCTTATCCCCCTTTACCCGCTGGTATATCGTAATTGAGTCGTGTCCATAGGCTAGGCTGGCAAGAGGTCACGAAGCTTTATTGTGTTTATTTTTGCTTCACCTTATCCGTTGTCCCTTTTTCGCACACTGCAACTAGCTATCCCAACCAAGTTTTTTTCCCAATGAAAGAAGCATGAAGGAACAGTTCCATTCGCATAGAGTTCTTTGTTGCTCACTAGTCCCCGTAATTGCCGCACAAACCTGTGTGTGGAGCACACGAAGCTAGTGGGTGCGTCGAATACCGGCTATTACTACTTATCGTAACTTTTTTCACATTTATTTCGTCTTTTTGTGACCTGTTCAGTTAATTTCCCTCCCAGTCTCGGTTATGCCTACCTCAGTATCTGCTCAAGACCGATGTTCTTCGGAAGCAATCATTTGTGCTAGGATGAAACTAGCTTTCCAGTCTTGTTTTCATTTCAGCAGGTACAATGTCTGGTGGGGCATCGTTGTTCAACAAAATTGACGATGTCTTGCTTTCGAAATTGGTGAGTTTTGTTTCTGCACTGGGTTCCCTCGCACAACCGGTTTGCCCAAACTCATCTTTTTGCTGTTTAACACTCTACACTGCGACAAACTCATCCAATTATATGCTCATCGGTGGAGAACTGCAGATTCATTTAGCACGATGGATAGATGGATGTTAAATTCCATGTGAGGAGGAGTTCTTGTTGTTCCGGCTTCTGTGGGAATGTGGCTGACACAGAACACTATATAAGTTTCGCTGACGGGGTTATATGCTGCGAATGCGAGCGGCTGGTCCCCACTTAAGGGTGTTCTAAACCCAGTATGACATCCAAAAGCCAATGGTTCAATTGCAAGTTTTATCCAAGTGGATACATACCGTTAGTCAAGAACTACAACCACTTGACCTAATCTAGAATTAGATGGCGTTCTTGTATGTTATACTTCGCTCTCACACACTTTATTCACTTTCTGTTTGTAAAAAACACTTGCCATTGCATACATACGCTTATCGCATTGGGTTCCCGCTGACGACAAACGTCGTTCGTTGAATCCTCAACCGAGACGGTACACTATGATCGAAATCTCAATGACTAGCACGTACAACCGATGCAATTTATGAGTGATACACCGCGCGTCCGAATCTGTTGCTTTATTCAGTTGTTTGGTACCAGAATTTCGGCGGCTTTCGAAAAAAGGTCCAGGAGTACGCCTGTTCGCACTGAGTTTCTACGTGTTTTTTCTTACAAATTAGTACCTCACTACTCTACCCGTCTCGCCTTATCCTTGTTCCTATTTAGTGGCAGACGATTCTGCATCCGAGTTTCTCAAATTTTTTCGTTTTGTGTATCTACGGAGGAAACACTTCTCATCTAGTGTGTACCAGTTTGGCCCGTTTTGATACCATTTAGCCTAATTTCGTCAAAACAAAAAGGATTGGTAGCCACTGAACGAACGACTGTTTTCGTGTGCAAATTTTCATGCCCAATCGTCAAAGCACCTCGACTAAGGCAAGGGAATGTTTTGAACATTACTGACCTGAGAAATCTGAATATTCCTGAGGGATCATGGCTAGCTCTTCTTTAGACAGATTATCACAAATCGATAGTTCAGCCTCACCGTTGACCACTGCTGCTGAGGCGAATGATTTGGATACTGACAGCTGGCCACCCTCATTCAACATGGTCTTGTATGGATTCTGCCCGTGCAACAAGCCCCAAGAGTTAATTCTCAGTCGGTGTTTGCGACCACAAAATCGATGTCAACGTCAGAAGACATTCGACGAACGAAAGGTAACAAAACGAATGGAAATGAGGACAGACCTCGAGTGTGGTTTCCATTAAAAACAAGTGAGAAGGCAGAAACACGTAGCGTCGATAAAATAGAGGCCAGTCATGCAGTCCACCGGTGGAAGCAAACAAACGGGGCAGAGTAAACAAGTCAACAATTCTGTTTGAGGGACTCCGCGATGAGAAAAGGTAACGAGAAATAAACGAATGAAGCATCACGCCATTCAAGAGTGCAATGACAATCATGTGCATCAAGGAAGTTCATTTCACACCGACCCCCAGGATACAGCATGCCTTTTTTACAGTTTGAGCCCAAAGTGGCTTTGTAGAGAACTAGGCGACAGCGAGGAAAAAAAATTTGGAGCCGAGCAAACGAACTTTTCTTATATTCTTGGTAATATTCCTTCGAATGTCCTGACCTTTGCTAGATGAACGCCCCCGTCAGTTCCTGAAGATACTTATGCTACCATCCTCTTGCACGACAGATCTCTTGGGGACGATTAGTCTGTTATATAACACCATGTTGTCAGCCTCCAGATCGCTCCTCGGTGTCGATCATTTCTGTCTGATTTGCTAGTTTGGCAACTACTCCACTGATCAAAAGACCACTTCCAAAAGATGTGACTGACCGCATGCAAGTGTGCAGTGCTGGTGCAAGTCATTTTCTCCACTATCTTGAAGCAGTAGCACGTCGATTGGAGTGGACGTTGCACACCTGTAGGCACAGAAACCAATGGTCCATTGTTCAGAATCCACTCCACCTCCACTATATGGCCTACTGGTGTGTCGTCAGTTGAACGTTGTTCCCGTCTTCAGGATATGTCAAAATGACCGTATCATACACTCCTAAACACCTTATTAGCTAAACGCCGGAGAACTGAGGTGCCAGAGTGTTCGGCGTTCTAACACGCTATCCTGTTCCAATGCAGGGCTTGGCTCAACGGTGCTGGACGTACCGGTTTGTTGTAGCTGAATATTCCTGCATTCAAGATAGTTTCACATGAATTTCGTGAAAAGCATGTTCTACTCACGAACTACCTAGCATGTCCTTCCTTCTTTTTAGTCAACTTGGATTAATTTGGTGTCATTGACACATAATCTCCCTCCCCCTTCACGTTGTACTGCAGGAATCCGGACAATGGCGTGAACGTGGAGATACACTGGATCAAATTGCGAAGCACCTTGAGATACCAGTCCTTCCAAGTGGCAACTATGGGCCACTCATAAAGGCTCTCCTTCAGGTTGGTGACTTCTCTTGTAGAAATTGTTTTTAGGTACCTGCATGCTGTTACTCTTGTATGTGAACAAGCAAATAGTTGCTATACCTTTCTTAACCTCAGTCATGGACAGCAAAATGGGCATTGCCTAATAGACCTGTTGCGGACCTGTGCGTGTTTACATGGTACACCGAAGCTAATGCATTTACATTCTCGCCCTTTGTAACCCGTTATGTGACAGACACTCCACCCCCTTTATTGTTCTCGGACACCGTCACGACCTTAGAAGTTGGCGAAACCCTGTTGAAAAACCAACACCTTGCTGAAGAAAGCTAGAATGGCACCAAAGCTCTCATTTGAATCTCAGTGTAACCATTTCCGCACCACCGCGGGCGTTCTCTTCAGTGAAGGTCACTCCGCTATTGTGGCTCTTTTGAGTTGCGTTGACTTGTCACGTATAGGGTGTGATACTTGTTTGCATGGTGAGGTACCGTCAGACCATATAACGACCTCCAGAGGCCATGGAATTTTATCTGTCCATCTCTGAAGTTAGCAGCTGTAAAAATCAACCGCTTTTTCGGTCAATCGGGTGTATTTCGAAAGCGAAAACTCACAGGAAGCAACTTTGGACGGTTCATTGCAGCATCTCTTTTAAAAGTTGACCTTCAAATGTGATCACTTCCGATTGATTTTTTCAAGAAGTCTACCTAGAGCAGGGACTCTGACTATGGACTTACCAAAGGTGGTCTTCGTCGTTACCTGTTTTCTCACGTAAGCGAGCTAACCATTCGACAGACCAATCACAAGGCGTCCAATCTGAAAAGTGGTCTCTACAGAAAAGAAAAAACGTGGTAATTGTTTGTCACACAGGCGAAAATCATATAATGGGGTCCCTAACCGCGTAGGGGGATCGATGTTATCTTGAAGCCATTTTGCAGACAGTTAACTAATGTAATAACTACATAAAAGTTTGTTGGACGAATTCCGCATCCTGATGTGTCTTGAACTGGTGTTCTGAGCCATGGGACTTTCAATTGGAACGTAGCTACCCACCGGGGCGAGATGGGCCAAGTCGTTAGAGCGCGAATTCACTGGTCGGAAGGTCCGTGGTTCGAACCCGACCCCTGCCTCTCGACTTCCCCTGTCTAGGCTTGGGCGACGTGACAGTCTCCCAGCCCTCGCGCTTCCTTCGTGTGGCATGGCAGCTAGGCACCGAAAGGGTGCTACAGCTGAACGATTTTTTCTTAGCTACCCACCATCTTGGCACTAGGTCGTACCTGCGGTACAACTTCTTTGCAGTTCCGTGGGCTTTGCATGCCTTTTATCCTATTCGAATTGGTAGTTCCCCAGGTCATGCTGTCGATGATGATGATGATGATGATGAGTTCCCCAAAAAAGTGATAGTTCTTATCCATCGGTGGATCACTTTTTTGAATAGACCAGAGTTGTGACAAATTTGGTTTTATGGGCAAGAAAAACATGGAAAACAAGAAAAAACATGTGTGTATAAATGACCTATCGGCGGTTCGCCAAAGGCACTGGTTGTAAAAATTCGTTGCGCGTTTGCGTGAACTGCCATAAAATGACTTCCAGTCGGATACTTGTGAGTACTTTCTAGAGGTTCCGCTGAAAATGTACCCATGTTACTTCGTTTTAATGGCACTTGCCTCTCCTGATGAGGTTGGTCTAGGTGACAAAACACTGGACTCAAAATTCGCCTGTTAGTGCTCGTCAGCAATGCATGTCCTTGATTGTGGTGGGATCTAAATCCCGCACGTATCAAATATTAGGCGTGCGTGTTACGAACACTTCACCATCCCAGGCTGGGTGCCCCCGAATTGTCGCATTTGAACATGCGAACATATCCACAACTGTTTTGGTTATCTGAACCGAAGGTGCCGACCTTTGTAGACCGTCCAATTAAGGGGCGTCAGGAATACTTTATACCTGCCGGACAAATTTTGTGAGTTGCCGCGGGACCTGTGGAATTTGTAGCCATGTTGGTCTCATTGAACAGTTCTTCTCTTCCTCTCCTCGAATGGTTATTCTGATCGAATCAGACCAAAAGAGAGAGATCACTGAACGTGCGAGTCTCTCCTGTTGGACTTCGCCATAAAAGCGAAACTCTATTTGCGTATTTCGCCTTACCTGAATTTCTGTCACTCGTCTTACGTTAGAAACTTTAGATACGGAAGACATTCCAAGTTGGGTACCGGATAAATAAAAAAATGGCTCAGCTGTAACACCCGGTGCCTAGCTGCCACGCCACCCGAAGGAAGCATGAGGGCTGGGATACTGCCAGGTTGCCCAAGCCTAGACAGGGGAAGTCGAGCGGCAGAGGTCGGGTTCGAACCACGGACCTTCCAGTCAGTAAATCCGCGCTCTAACCACTTGACCCATCTCGCCCTGGGTACCGTATACCTTGGTGGAAGTCACCTCTTTTTATGAACCCGCTTGCTGATGCGATGCCCCATTTTACCCACCGGTTGACTGCTACGTTTCATTTCATATCCACGTGTTTTCTTTGCTTGCGCAAGAAGTTCCAAAGTAGAGGGTGATGCAATCCCTCAAGAGGTTTTCGTTTTCAAGGTGTGTAAAACCATATTTTCTCATCCTAAACTGACTCAATCCATTTTGTTTTGTTTCTGTTTAAAATTTAAGTAATTCCTGATCGATTAGTGGCCAGTTTCACTGGCATTTAATGTCCACATTTCGAAGACACTCATCCGGATGGATAGTTGCCTTGGAGGTGTTTGTATCGATTCCCTGATGTTTTTATATGGAGGGGTGGGGCGAGATGGACCAGGTGGTTAGAGCGCCAATTTACTGACCGGAAGGTCCGTGGTTCGAACCCGACCTCTGCCTCTCGACTTCCCCTGTCTAGGCTTGGGCAACTTGACAGCTTCCCTCCTGTGGCATGGCAGCTAGGCACCGAAGGGGTGCTACAGCTGAATGGGGTATATGGAGAGGAAGTTCTCTACTTTGGTTCTCAACGACCACTTCCTGTTGTAATATCGACTTGTCAGTTGCTCATGTCTATCAGTCGGCACGTGTTCGGTGTGGTTTTTTTTACTGCGCATCCGACTTGTACCGGAGCCATACCATCTTGCGCTCTCTCCTTGTCGGTCGCTTTGTAAAAAAAACCCCAGGCTTTCTGTGATCATGAATTCTCGTGATTGCACGCTCAATACACTTGCTTCCTTACGGCTATCATTGGAATCATGCTCCCACCGGGGCCAACTAAATTGATTTTTCGAAATTACTATCGCAATTGCTCTAATTCTGGTCCCATAATTCACTACCCTACTTTATGCAGGTCGTGGAAGCGGACAAAAATCGACAGCTCGTATTGCGGGCCGTCGGAATTCTGCAGCAACTGGCCCAAGGGTTACGAAAAAGTTTTGTTCCACACGCGGAGCGTACACTGTCCGTATGTTTGAACAGGTGCAAGGAGAACAATCAGGGCATTGTTCAAGCCCTACGCTCTGCTTCGCAAACGGTGGTCGATCTGGTGAGTGCACACTTCTCTGTGACTGCCTTTTGCCACTACCATAAATACCTTAACACCGTTTACAGCAGACCTTTGGAAGGATGGAGACGGAAGGTTGGAGCTCTTCCGCTGGGCCATGATCATATCCATACAGTCGTCAACCTAGAACGAATGTCATTCACTACTCCAGGAGCTCGTTTACCATAGAGCTGGGTAAAAAAACAAATGACTGCCAGCGAAGGGAATGCTCAGCGAGTTTTACTAGTCTGATCTGCAGCTCATCGTTGTAGCTGTGACAAACGATGATGGCAGGCTCAAGGAGTAAGACACCAGCGTAGCCTGGTGCCGTCCATACTACCGTTGCACTAGCAATTCGTCATCATCAGTGACAGCCAAATCAATGTCGGCCTAATGCCGCTCATCGTTGTAGCTGTGACAAACGATGATGGCAGGCTCAAGGAGTAAGACACCAGCGTAGCCTGGTGCCGTCCATACTACCGTTGCACTAGCAATTCGTCATCATCAGTGACAGCAAAATCAATGTCGAGTCTAATGCCGTAACCCTCTTTCAGTGCCTTGATGCTATGCCGTTCAAAAGAAGCACGATGGATGAGATACTCTCAACTTCTCGAAGCCTGGACGGGAACAGTCGGAATGCTGAGGGTGAGGGGCTCAAATCGTGAACCTTCCATTCATTAAGTTCACGCCTCAATCACTGAGCCACCTGAAACTCAGGATCAACTACATTCTGCATCTTTGGAACCGTAGTTAACCCCTTAAAGCTAGATTTGTAGCATAGGGCATTCCCATTGTGTCGTGTCTTTTCTTCGGGGGTAACTCAATCATTTTCGAAGGGAGGGATTTTTCCTTAGGAAGGAGTCGTCTTTCCGGTGGAGTGTTTCTTCTTGTTTTCCTGAAAGTCGGGACCATTATATCAAGCCTTACCAAGATAACTATTCGTGATTGGGTCCACAGATACTTTGAAAACAAGATACCTCAAAGAATTAGTTATATGGGAAGTTTCAGATTGCTGTGTTGCTGTGAACGACAGTTACCTTCGAATATACACTCACTTGCAAACTAATTTGGTTTTCCGAGAGACTCACTCGGGAACCCAGCTGAATCTCTCGTTTGTGATGTTCTCAGGCAACTAAATGTGCTGCACCAGGACGCCTCATGTTTCAGTAAAAAAAAGCATCGAATGAAGGCAACTGTTTATCCTTGTAATGTACTACTCATAAGGTTGTTGAAAATCCGTCGACAGCCCACGACCGGTTTCGCCCTTTTTGGGGCTCATCAGGTAGGCGCAGTCCCCGAGTTTCTGTCAATTTTATGTTCTACCTGAAACCAAATTGCACGAAATTAGCGAATATACACTCATTTGCAAACTGTTTTGGTTTTTCGAGAGACTCACCTGGAACCCAGCTGTATCTTATGTTCGTGATGTTCTCAGACATAAGGTTGAAAGAAACCCGGGGACTGCGCCTACCTGATGAGCCCCAAAAAGGGCGAAACCGGTCGTGGGCTGTCGACGGATTTTCAACAACCTTATGAGTAGTACATTACAAGGATAAACAGTTGCCTTCATTCGATGCTTTTTTTTGTAGTCGATACATTGAACTGTTGCGGTATCCATGTAGAATGAACTGAATTCGTGGATCCCATGTTTGTTGCTTCCACACTAGCCATTTCCTGCATGGTCTTTCACCTCTTCTCTGCCATAGATGTCACTGGAACCGGCGGTTACCGTCCTAATGAATGGACTCTCTAATCCCTCTCCAAGCGTCCAGGCAACATGCGCTGATGTGCTCACACATGCCCTAGTAACCCGTAGTTCTCCTCTTAATGAGTTCGAGTCAATCGTCTCGACACAACGTCCTCGACACGTCAAACCTCTGTTGGCGCCCTTGCGGACCCTCTCACAGCATCGCTCTGTAGAATGTCGGGAGGCTAGCTTTCAAGCATTTGCTGCTGTCCGTTTGTTCCTGGATTCCAATCCCGGTCAGTTTACTTCACTCACAGAAGGCCACTTGGATGGACAACGTTGTCTCAAAGTGGAGTTGGCCTACGATCTGCTCAAGACCGATATGCAAAAGCGGATTTCCACTGCCGAGCAAAAACCACAACAAAATGCCACCGATCGAACAGGGAATAAGAAAAGAAGCAGGGACAGCTCGTCTTCGTCAGGCGATGAGGGTGAGTTTCTTCCTCCGTCACTCTTATTCTTGTTATACGGAATCGTTTTTACGTTGGTTTGCACTGACCCCCCCCCGTTTCCTGGTTTCACACAGTTGCTGTACAACCACCTGCAGCCGGAACTCGACGGAAGCAGAAACAGAAAGATGCGTTATTTCCCACGCCGATGCGCACCGAATCCAAACAGACCAAAACAGCGAGGCCAGCGAAACAGAAACAGAAGCAGCGGCAGGAATCTAACCCACCAGGAACCGAGGATTATCAGACTTTAGAACAAGCCAGGGATGGCTTAGCCAAGTAAGCTTACTACCCTCTTTTCTCGTGTTTGGTAATTTCGCAGTGAAACGAGGAGTGTTTTAACGGAGAGTACGTGTTCAAAGACCTGGCACCGTGATTCGAACCCATATATTTTACGACTGTGGAACCAGATGTCATTTTTAAATGCGCCCTTTTTTGTATTCCACCGCTTATTGCTTCTCATCACCCAATGCATTCACGTCCTCTCAACAGCTATTTCGCCGGCATGTCGCTGGAACAGCTGACGGACACGAATTGGAAATTACGCCTGGCCGCCACGGAGGTCGTCAAGACCAAATTCGATTCTGATCCTCCTTCGGGCGAAACAGCGATCCGACTTCTGTATTTCTTCGTTCACAGCAACCGTTTAAACGACATCAATTTGCAGGTGAGAAACTTTCCCATCCGATCCCCACCTCTTGGCCCGACTGTCAGTTTCTTCGAAGCTGTGTTGTAGATTTATCAGCTTGTCATTGTTTGCTTTAGTGTCTCGTTCACTATGGCAGTGTCGAACGGTTTTGAGTGTTCTGGTGACTTCGTATATTTTTGAAAAGCGCGCTATATCGATCCACACGGGCCTTCGAAGTCTTATCAGAGACTTCCAGCCGAGTGGTCGTGTCTGGCGCCATCAATCCAGGCTTTTGTTTCCGGTCCCATATTTTCGCTGTGATAACAGTATCTTCCGATGCGATCAAAATCGTTTCCGGTGTACTTTGTTGAGTGAACGGGCACCAGCTGTACTGCTGTCGGACTCTCCGGTTATGCGGCCTAAATGGGTACACCTTCTGACGTGTTTTTCACACCAATAGACCACAGGATTGTTATATCACATTCCCGGTGGCCCGACGACTAACTCCGGCGTCACGTCACTTTCAGTTGACATTGCACACCGAGAATTCGTAACATGCAACGCAGGAAACTAAATATAAGTTGAACAGAGATGCGATCGATGCCATTGGGCTTGTATCTTATTTTTTGTCCGGCTCTCTTGTCTTCACGTGTTCAGATATCATCACGTAGTTTGGCACGCTCGTTGAAACGGTGTAAAAAAGTCGTTCAGCTGTAGCACCCTTTCGGTGCCTAGCTGCCATGCCACCCGAAGGTTGTACGAGCGCTGGGATACTGCCAGGTTGCCCAAGCCTAGACAGGGAACTTCGAGAGGCAGAGGTCGGGTTCGAACCACGGACCTTCCAGTCAGTAAATTCGCTCTCTAACCACCTGGGCCATCCCGCCCATCTGCCGGGATATGGCCGCTGTCGACTTCAAAGAGTTACTAGGACCTACAGATAGTAACCTGACAGTCATGTGGAATCCATAGCTAAGTGAGCCGCCCCATACGGGCACGGTATTGTTGTGTACGACGAGGGTCAGAGTGCAACGACAATCAGAATGGCAATGGAAAAGACGGAGGGCCCGAAAGCTAGGCTTTATTCATCCAAAACTTTGACACTGAGAGGTGAAAACGGAAGAAAGTGATTTAGCAATAAATGATAAAACGTTTGAAAAACGGAGCAAATATA